CTGAGTACTCCCATGCAGATGCCACTTAGGTCTATCGCCTCCTCTCTGCTCAGAGCCCAGGGAGCAGGCTGTCCTAGACACCATGGTTTGCCCAGAGGGACCAGTGGCCAAAGGGAATCAACCCTGAAGTGCCAAGAAGCAGGTGACTGCCTACCACACACTTCGTGACCTTCAACTGGACACATCAGCGGGCTGGGCTGCTCTGCCGCTGGCGGTTAGGATGCCAACATGCTCTTTCCCACCATGTGCACCGGATATGAAGAGACAGCAGGACCTGAGCTCCCCAGTTGAGAAATGGGATGCAGTACATGTATGGGGTCCATCTCTTATTTCTTCCTGTCAACCTGTGGAGAGTTATGCTGGGTACTAAACTGGCCACCATAGCTTCTCCTTTCTTCCAAGAGTTCCCTGGTACTTGAGTACTGGCCTGGGGTGAGGGGTGGGTCACACTGCTGGTGTATGGTAGCATCCCAGAATGTGGCTGTAGTTGTGCCAACCAGCCATCTGAGCCTGTGGGTGCTTCTTTCTGAGTCCTGAGCTGGTTCCTCTGCAAGCATTTTAGGGTGCAGGGACTCGACTAGGTGGGACTGTGTGTCTGGGAGTGCAGAGGGAGGTTGGGAGGGTTGGGCAAGGTTGAGATTTTTGTTGCAAATTCTTTTATCATCAGAGTTGGGCCTCCTCTCTTCATTGGCTGGCCTGCCTGGCAAGTGTTCTTTGTAGATACCTGTGGTGCCGGAGGGGTGTCAGGGTGGCCTTGAGACTGATCCTGGTTCAGCCTGGCCCTGTTGGGTTGCGCTGAGATTAGGCCGTTGGAGGTCCTCCATGGCGTGACTCTGACGGTTCTTGCCTAACATTTAATCCCATCATCACTCGCAGGAAGCGTAGTTAGAATGTGTGTATCAACCTGTGTCTTGGTGACCAGTCTCTGAGCTGTGCGTTTGTACTACCACTGTATTTGTGTACTTTAACAATTGTGTAAATAATAAATTCATAATGACTTCTACCTTTCCTCCCTCCCCCTTGTGTGGTCTTTCTTTCAGCAGCTGAGTTTTCAGTATGTAAGCCATATGGAAGTAAACTTGGTGTGGGTGCTGGCTCTGAGATTAAGACAGTCTCTTTCTGTAGCCCAGGCTGTCCTGGAACTGATTCTTCTGCCTCAACCTTCTGACTGTTGGTATTAAAGAGCCAGTAAAACTAACTTGTTCAGGATGATAGTCCTACTTGTCCTTTCCCAGCCTATAAGTACTGGAAAACTAGTTGGAGTAGGTGCCAAAAAGATGGCTCCCACTTGGGTTCTGGGGTGTGTGGGTGGATATTCTCATGAGTTTACTTAGGGATGTTGTGATGGTTCTGTGAGCCCTTCTCCACTCACCTTATAAGCACCTTTTGAGATAGAAGCCCCTAACCTACATAACCCTCTGTGCTAGTGCCTTAGATTTTCACCTCGCTAGGGAGCGGAGCTGAGGTGGGTGTGTCCCACTGTTCCTGGCATGCACAGGGAGAAGGCATCTGTGTACACATGAATTTTCTACAGCAGCACCCTTTTGAGGGACAGGGAAAAGCTATCAGGTTGCTGGAACTAGGTCTGTTCGTGTTGTGGAGACCTGTCCTCTTGGGAATTCTTTTTTGTTGTTTTTTTTAAGACGGGGCTTCTCTGTGTAGCTTTTGGAGCCTGTCCTGGACCTCACTCTGTAGACCAGGCTGGCCTGGAATTTAGAGATCCGCCTGTCTCTGCCTCTGCCTCCCAAGTGCTGAGATTACAGGTGCCACCACCACCTGGCCTCTTGGGAATTCTTATCTGTCCCACATCCTAATGAGCTTGGCACTGGCTCAGTTGTAGCAGTCAAGTGCTGGCAGGATCTATGGCCAAAACCCACTTAGTTCCCTGTGTGTGGCAGGTGTGGACATGCTAGAGAGGGAAACTCCCACAATGATGCCTGAGTTCTTGCCCCTCTAACCCCACCCTCAGCTTGCCAGTCTCTTCCAAGATACTCTTCAGCCGTCCTGCCTGTACTTTGAGCATCCCAAGTGGGCTTCTGGCTTGCTTGGTGGATTCCAGAAGGGACTGTTGCTCCACTGTCCCACATTAGCTACGACAATGGTTCTCAACCTATGTATGGGTCATGACCCCTTTGACATCCCTCTTATCTCCAAAAATATTTGCATTGCAATTCATAATAGCAAAATTACAGTTATGAAGTAGCAATGAAAAATAATTTTATGGTTGGGGATCACTACAAAATAGGAACTGTATTAAAGGGTCATGGCATTATGAAGGTTGAGAACCACTGAAATAGGAGATGAAATTAGTGCCAGCTTTGCCTATATTGGCACCTCCCTGAGTCGAGAGCTCCCTTCTGTTGCAGCCAGGCAAAGTACAGGTCCTATAAGCAATCCACTGTTAGGTGCTACTTTTCACCTCTCCTGTAAAGGTGCTTGTGCTAGAGGTGAAAGGAACTGGTCTTGGAACCAGAGTCTGGGTGAACTGCACATCCAAGAGGCCATTGTCTACACTGGAGACTGGGTGATCCCACGAACAGCCATGCATCTGGGCAGCTGCCTTCAGAAGCCCACCCTGAATTCCTCAGATGGTGTAGAATCACTAGCCCGTAGGCTGTTACTTGTCATTCACATACTTAGCTCTATGTGTTCTCTGCCAAGAGTACAGGGTTTGGGGAGACAGACCCAGTAGGTTCGGCAGTAGTAGCCCATAAGCCTAGCTCATTTGCTCAGACTCTGATTTGGGGATGATGAGATATCTCTTTCCCTGGACCTTTGCAGGCCCAGTTATAGGTGAGTCTGGATAGACAGGCCTCTCCATTGTCACTCAGGCTTGGGTCTTCAGAGGATACTGAATATCCTTGGTACTCCATTCAGCCCCTACAGGGCAGTCTATTCAGTGTGCCCTCTGATGTGTCCCCAGCTGCTGCCAGAGCATTCACAGTCCCTCCTTAGGCCTTTTTGGCTTCACGAGTCATCTCTTTGGGATGGTTACCACTCTAGGTGTTCCAGCAGCCATACTTTGAGGACAGGGAGTTTGCTTTTGTCCAGTTGAAACCACCTGCTCATTACAGGGCACAGAGGCTGCCACCATGGGGTGCAAGTGGGGTCCCACCAGCACATACAGGCTTGAGAGGGGTCTCAGGGCCACCCAGCATCTCCCTTATAAAGACTGCAGCCCACTATGGATCTGTGCCCTATGGAAGGGGTAGGATGACCTGGTGCTCTCACCCAGGGTGATGCAGCTTAGTGAGGGTAAGAGCTGGTTTGGGGTGTAAGGGGTTGGGAAATAAATCATAGTCTGATCAGTGCAGATGATAGTTCTGGGAAAAGGCCCTTCCTGTGCCTTCCCCACCAAGAGCTGCTCTCAGGCAATGATTCCATCAGTATAATTGCTGCAGCTAGGCCTAGGAGTAGAGGAAGCAGGCCTGAAGGCTCTTGCGGGTCCTGCGGAGTGAGGCTGGCTGAGGTGGGCAGAGCAGGCTATGTCCCCCGAGGCCCAGTGTCTCTGTGTCAGAATGCTACCCACTCCCACCACTTTGTCTCTTTTCCCTCTAGTTTCTAGGGGCAGCTAATGCCACAGTTGGGACTTGGCCTGTCTCTAAGTCTGAGGTCCTTGCCATTCCCACTTGCTCTGGTGAGGTTGGCAAATGAGACTCCAGGATGCATGTGACCACAGCTGCCACCAGCACTGCCCACCAGCTGACTTACTAAAGGGAACAAAAGGACCAGATGGGAGAGGCACCCCAGAATCTTGAGACTGGGTCAGAGCTGCAAGCCCTTGGCCTCCTCATGGAGCTGAGCAGAGCCAGACTTACCAGGGAGTATGGGAGGCTGGTACCAGATATGAGCACTGCCTCCTTTTCCTTGCAGAGGAGCAGGGACGTGTCATCTCTCCGGCTGCATGCGGCCCGCCAAGGTGCCCGCTGCCGTCCCCAGCGCCCACGACGTACCACCTACTGAGACGGCCCCAGCGGCCTCTGACCGGGCTTCCAGCCACGCAGGCCGCCACTGGCCACAGGGCAGGTGGGTGCGAGGTGCCCAGGGCAAACCCGAGTGCTGAGCATGGGCTGGACAGAGGACGGGGAACAGGATCAGCAGGTGCTGACTACATAAGAGAAATTTACCAGCCCTCCAGAGGGGTGAATAAACGGAAGGCAGGAAACTTACGTTGGAAGCCCACAGACAGTGAACAGAGCTTATGCTGTATCTCAGCTCAGTCTCCTCACCCCTGGGGGTTCCCATGGCCTCCCAGTGCCACCCTGGCACCCCTCTCCCTCCCTTGATATTCCCCTCTCCCCTTTTCTTCCTGCTATATGAACGCTGTGGCTGCTGAACAAACCCTAGGGGCAGCAGAGAAGGTTACAGCAGGCAGAACTGGGAGAGCTAATGAAGATCAGAACCACTTTTTAAGAATCAGCAGTTTGTTATTTAACAAAGGTGGGACTCAGGGTGAACAGACCACTGCCCAGAACCAGACAGCTCCTGGAGACAGGCCCTCTGGTGCTCCTCTACACACAGGACTGTTTCTACCTTCTCAGGTAGAAGGAGCGCTTTGTCCCCTAGACAAGAGGGATGATTGGCAATGTAGGAGACCAGGGCAGAGATGGGGTGGATGGTGGGGCCAGGGAGGACCCTGCAGGCAGCACCCACCTGCCAGCCCGTCCCAGCCCTGCCCTCTGATTAAAGTCGTGTTGTCTCCTAAGTGTGGGTTTCTAGGTCCTTGGCCACAGTGGGGGGCGGGGAGGCACAGGCTGCTGGGGCTCAGCAGGCTGGGGCCCTGGTCTGCCGGCTGGTAACTGTGCGGCTTCCTTGGCTTCACCGCAGATCCACTTTGGAATGACACGGTTCCCACCCCGCCACCTCTCCCCGCAAAACACTGACCCGCTGACCAGGCAGCCAGAGCTGAGCAGATGGCCCCGCCTCAGCTGGTCCTGTTTGTGAAATAAATATGAGCGTTGCCAGTCTCTGGACCTCTTCCCTGCTCCCTGCCCGCCCGGCCAGGCCGCTCACACGCTGGTTTCCGGGGTATGAACCACCTCCCCATTTTTCTCAGGCTGTCCCTTCAGGAAGTGCTCCACCTCCCTCGAGTCCACCCTCGAGTCCACAGGGGGCTTGTGGAGCTTCTCCTCTTCTGAGGCCACCTCCTCAGGCTGGGTCACCTCGGGCCTCTTCCTGATGCAGAAGAAGTTGCCCAACAGCAGCACAAGGGAGGAGGTGAGCACCTCGGCCCCCGCCAGGATGAACACATACTTGTAAACTTTCGTGGCATCCAGCAGCTTGCCTGCAAAGAAGACCCAGGTCACTAGAAGCTCCTGGGAGTACCCTGCTTCCACCCTGGGCCAGGGCTTCATCTCCTGGCATTGAGGAAATGCCTCACACATGCAGTCCCCGTCTGCCTTGAACTCCATCCCCAGCAGCATCTGCCCAGCCCTCTCCAGCCCATGAGAGCAAAGGCTGAATCAAAAAGGATGGATAGAAGTGGCCTTGAAGGTTTGCACTCATGGGGCATATATCTTCCCTTCCCAGTCACAGACCCCTAGAAAGAAACATGGCTTAGCAAGGCCCTGTGTACCTAGTAACTGAGGACCCCCAAGACCATTCTTGGAGAAAGAAGGAGCCAGAGGCTATAAGGGGATCAGAAAGGACCGTGGAGTAAGAGAACTCAGTCCAGGATAGCTAGGCCGCCCTCTCCAGCTAAAACCATTCTCAATTTCAATGGAGTGTTTTTGGCTGGCCTTCAGGAAGTAAAAGTAAAAAGTTTATGCCTGTCTTGGCTCAGAGCCAGCACTTACTGCTGACATCTACTGGCCTCAGATCCTATCCATTTCCAGTCTCCTAAAGCAGGTATGAAAGGAAGGGGGTGTAGGTAGCCCCTCTTCAGGGAGGCCAGACCTTGCCCTGTTCTGGTGTCCCAGCAGCACTCACCTCCTGATGGGGGTCCAATGAGCACAGCCACAGCCTCTAACAGCAACACGAGACCGATGGCACTGGAGAACTTCTGAGTGCCTACGATAGCCATAAGCACCTCAAACTGTAGAGCCCCTACCATGCCATATGAGATGCCAAAGAAGATGCAGAAGACCACCAGGCCACCATAGTCACTGGCTGTGGAGCCTGTCAGGTCGGTGAAGCCATTGAAGAACATGGCAAAGCTGAAGAGGTAGACAGAGTAGGGCCGCACCTTCTTGAGCCCCGTTATGAAGCCAGCTGTGGGCCTGGCAAAGATGTCAATAAAGCCCAGGATGGTGAGAAGGAAGGCGGCCTTCGTGTCAGGCACACCCAGATCCTTAGCATAGCTCACCACAAATACTGGGGGCACAAAGAGCCCCAGCACCATGATGGAAGCAGCCACTGCATAGATGAGGAAGCCACGGTCTCGGAAGACACTCAAATCCAAAAGATGCTTTGATGGCCGCTGGGGTGCATGGGGCCCAGTCCCTCCACTCGCCTTGGGTGCCACTAGTGGCCTCATGAGCGCAGCACACACGCAGCAGTTGAGCAGCAGGCCCCCCAGGATGAGGAAGCCACCTCGCCAGCCATAGTAGTCCTGTAGTAGCTGCCCCAGTGGAGACAGTGCACAAAGGAACACTGGACTGCCTGCTGCTGCCAGCCCATTGGCTAGAGGGCGTCGTTTGTTGAAGTATCGGTTGAGCATGATGAGGGAGGGCTGGAAGTTGAGAGCCAGACCCAGGCCTGTAAGAGAGGACAGTGTAAGACCTCAAACCCAGACTTCAAGTAAGGCAATGGGGAACCCTGTGACCAAGCCTGCAAAGAAGGCAGTATGAAACCCCAGGCCCAGATCTCCAAGGAGAGCAGAGTTAAACCCCATGGCCAGGACTTGCAGGGAAGGCAGCTTTAGCCCTTGTGACTCAGATTTCTAAGCAAGGCAGCTTAGACCCCTGTGTCTCCCACACCTTCATCCATACCCCAGCTTCCCTGAGCGCAGTCCATTGCAAATAGTGGTGAGCATCTAATGGGTCTCAAAGTACAGAGCCTCAGACACTGGCCACGCATCTCGTCAGACTTAGGGATGGGAGGGAAGGGCACAGCCAAGAATCCCAACAGTACTCAACTTTCCTCCAAACTCAGATCATGGGCAGAAGGTCTGCAGGTCCCACCCAACTCACCAGTGATGACCCCTGTGGTGAGGTAGATCTGAATGATGCTTCTGCAGAAAGATGCGGCCACCATTCCCAGGGATGCAAAGAGGCCACCCACAAGCATGACAGGCCGGCAGCCAAAACGGTTCACACACACACTGCAGAATGGCCCTGTGTAGAGAAGGTAGCTGAGGGAGGGGCCAGGCATCTGGCTTGTCTCTGCCCCATCCCTGCCCACCAGAATAGGTAAGACCCTCAATTATCCGGTGTGCTAGGCACTGTGGGCTAGGTTCTTAGTGCAAGGTGACTGGTGGACACTGGGCAGAGCCCAGCTCCTCACATGACCTAAGCAGGTCAGCAGGCATCAACCTCTTTGAAGGAACCACTTGTGACGCCTCACCACTGGGAGGAGCCTGCACGCTTAGACAGGGACCGAGACACTTTGCCCTTCAGAGAACCAATACCTTTCTGGCAAGATCACCCACTCAAGGTTTTACCCCATTCCTCTGTGCTCCCTTGGATACCTGTGAACCCCACCTCACCTGTGCCATAGAGCATAGCCAGCAGGATGGAGGAGATCCAAGCCGTGTCGCTATAGCCAATCCCAAACTCATGCATGAGCTCCTTGAAAAAAACGCTGACTGCTTTGGGGAAGGCATAAGAGAAACCCGTGATGATGAAACAGCCGAAGAGGACGGCCCAGCCCCAGCCGCCATCAGGGGCCTTGACTCCGGTGGGACCATCGTCCACCACGGCTCCTCCCATAGCCAGGAGGGCTGGTTTCACCTTGCCCTGAGAGAAAAGAAACAGAGCTGACTCAGGTTGCCAGGGTGATCATCTCAGCCACAGCCCAGCAGAGGAGGGTGGGGACAGAAACAGGCAAGACACCTGGAGAGTCATTCCTACAGCAGCTTAGCCTGGGGCAGCCTGCTGTCACTACCCCAGGGCTCCCGCCCCTGGCTACCCTTAACTGGTACTTTGGGGAGCTGTCTGTTCCCACACAGGTGGCTATAAAGTACAATGACTTTTTCGGGCTTGGCCAGGATTCACATCACCTCCTGGGAAGAACAGACCCAAGCAATCAGCCTGGCTGGTGTTTTCTGCACTTGCACTGGCCAGAGGCTGTGCTGCACGTGATCCCGGCAGCAGCCTGTGCTTCCCACCCTTTGGGGCACACTCTCGAGTCCTCCCCCAGAATGTCTGGGGTGGGTGCCCAGCACTTTGCCCAGCTCTAAATGTAAATGAGGTCAGCCCTGCCCTGTTCTGCCCCTGAGGAGCTGGGCTGCACTCTTTGCCCACTCTGGATTCCACTTTCTGACTGACTGGGAGGACATGGGTCTGGAGCAGAGGCAGAGGAAACACAGGCTATGGTATCTGAGGGCGCTGCCTACTTCTCCTGGGTAGAGTTTAGTAGTTGTAACTCTGCCTAGAATCACCCATGGCAGTGCCTTTTGGGAGAGGCTGAAGATCCTGGTGGATTCTAGAAAGGCCTCAGTCATGGCTGCAGCTCATAATTAATCTATTGGAACAGGGGCAGATCTTCTGGCCCTAGCTGCTAAAGTTAGCAGGAAGTGTCCCATACCCCACCCCCAACCAGTGCTAACTTCCCTTTTCATGCATTTCAGGGGCAAGTCCGAAAGCTAGGACCAGGTTTTTGTTTGGGTATTGACCCCCAGTCAGTATCCCCTAATCCCAGAGGTTGCTCAGCCTCACCCCCCATCTCACCAAGAATTGAGCTGCAGCGGGGGGGCAGCCTCTGACCTGAGTATTCAGTCCAGTCTCCACAAATGCTGTGCTGCCAAACAGTACTCTGGGGAGAAAATCAAACCATGATGTTGTTTAAGGGCAACTGGCACTGGGATGTAAACCCCTGACCAGGAGAGCTACCTTGGTTGCTCACCCTGGAAGGGCTGGGCATGTATCTGTAGGCTCCAGCCCTGCCCCTTTGCTGGCTTCTTCCTGTGAGCAGAGTCCTGTGGTTGGGGCACAGACATGCTAAACTAGACTGTGTCCTGGGAAGCCCAAATGTGGTGTGACTCCACCCAGGTTTTCCTAAGGTTCAGAGACAACACACAGCTCTGCTGGGAACACACACCTACCTTCGAAGGCTTCACCCTGCTTCTGACCATCTGGCCATGGCCCAGCCTGAGACCCTCCCCACTCATACCCAAAGGAGAAGTATTTTATGCCAGTGAGGACATGCTCAGTGGGAGCCCCAGGTTCCAGGCACCTCTTATCCATTAGCCCTGGGTTTAAAAGACCCTTAAGATTATTTAAAAGGGAAACTAAAAGCTGGAGTGGGGGAGTGCATTTTAGGGATATACCATTTAGAGATGAAACCAAAGACAGAAAACTGAGGATGACCCCAGGCCCAAAATTTAAGGGTTAGTCCAGGAGAGAATGGGAGGGGTGGCCAACCGGGGTTCCTGCTTGTTCAGATTGTGGCTTTACAAAAGTTTACCTCTTTTGTTTCTTTATTTGTGTGTGTGTGTGGAGACACTATCTCACTATGTAGCCCTAGTTGGCTTGGAGCTCTGTGTATCACTGGATGGCCTCAAACTCCTTTGCCTCTAACTCTTGAGTCCTAGGATTACCGGCATGCATCACCATGCCCAGCCTTCTGCTGCACTTTTTAAAATAAAGCCAGAGTGGGCAAGGTGGCTCAGTGGGTAAAGGCACCTGCCCCTGAGGCTGACAGCGTGGGTTCAATCCCCATGACCTACATGATGAAGAGAACTGACTCCTACAGGCCCTCCTGACCTCCATAAACAATGACACACACACACATAGGCACACAGATGCCTGTGCCCCAACCACCCCCCCCCAGTGTTCAAAAAATAAAATAAAATCCAATTTCCATGCAAAGCCAAGAGGAGAGCATGCCCAGAACCAGCCGTGAGCACTAACCTAACTCTGGGCCCCCGAGGTCCCCCACAGAGGATGAGAGCTCCCAGGCCTGAGCATCTGAGCTGTATCAGGCATGTCCAGCACTTATCAAGGTACTAACAGGTATTCCAGCCTTTTGAAGTTTCTCCACCTTTGCTTATTTCTTATAAAGGTTGGGCCCTCACTGGAGCTCTCAGAATTCAAGAAAGACAGAAATGAGGACATAACTACCGGCTGTAGATGATGGGCCCTCTGAACTGGGGTCTTGAAGGGCAAGCAAGGTCTGAAGGGTACATGTTCTGGAACTTTTCAGGCCCATGCTGCCGTATAAGACTAATAATACAGGGAAGGCCCCCTTCAGTGCCAAGAAGATGATGGCACCAAGACAGGAAGCTCTCCACCAAGCCTAGCACCAGCGTTGTCCTTACCCACTGTGGTGCTAACTACCCTAAGGGAGCCTCGCCAGTGCCCACCCCAGCCTGTCTCCAGAGACCCTGGAGAGGGAGACTTCTCAGGGAGATCCAATTTCCCAACCAGGGGTGGAGTTTAAGCCTGCTGTTTAGGCTGCTTTTTGTCACCCAGGCCTCAACACACCCAGTAGAGAAAAAGGCTAGGATTCCCAGCCTGCCTTGAGAATGAGATCCACAGGGTAACAGCATGGATGGGCCAAAATGCAGGCTTCCCTGTCTATATCCACAGGGGCCCCCACCTCCAACAGCATATCCATGGGCACACCCTAGCTGTCTGGCCTTTCAGTGACATTTACCCTCCCAGGGAAGCATGTGAAGCAGCCCAGAAATAACTCAGCCTCCAGGTCACAGAAAACTGATCTGGGGGTGGGGGCTGGGTCAGGAAAGCCTGCAGGGTGCTCCCGAAAGCTGTTCCCTAGAGGCCCTTGAAAGGCCTAACAACCAGTGAGTGTTGCCTATGGCAGAGGTACATGGGAGTCCCTTGTAACATCCTTTTGCATTCAAGGGTCTGGACTATCAGTCCAAGGAAGGCAGACCAGGTGCCCACAGTGGTCCAGGCCCTGAGTTCTGGTCTCTCTGGTCTATTCAGGTGCCCCTTAAGTGCCCGTCATCAGAGGAGGGACCAGGCTTGGCCCTGCCTTTGTGGTCTAAGTAGGTGGCAGGAACTAAGGCAACTACCTTCCTTGGGTTACATTCCAGATCCCCAAAAAACAAGCAACTAGTTGAGGCTAGCCCCCAATACCTGGGTAGCAGGGGCAAGAGGCTGTTGAAAGGCCTCCTTCCCTCCCTCCCTTCCCCTGTCATTGTACAAACAGGTATAACAGCGTGCCTCTCCTTTCTGAGCCCTCAGCCCTGAGCCCACCAGTATGTAAAGGTATGCCATGGAAAAGCCTCTAGGGGCTTTTTCTGCCAGGCATGGTGCGGCAGAGGTTGGGCCACAGCGGTTGCCTGGCCCTCCACCCCGTCCCTCCACCCCGTCCCTCCACCCTGTCCCTCCTGGCCCGCCCAGCCTCCAGGGCAAGTTGTCCTGTCAGCTCACATCAACTTTGCAGGGACCAGCAGGGTAGAAATACTCTTGTTTGCCAAAATAGACACTGTTGCCCAGAGCCAACCACCACCCCGCCTCAGGCCTGAGATCCCTGCGGGGCTGTCGTAGGACACTTGGGCTCAGAGTCCCACACCTTGTGAGGAACCTTCAAGGCTTGACTGTCACAAAAATGGGGCAGTCCTGGGGACCTTCTCCATCTTGCTGTGGGAGCCCCTTCTCTGCAAGGTTAGGGTTCGTGAGTGGGACCCTCTCTGAGCCACTTTCCCACAAAGTTCCACCTAGGCCTGCTGGGCACTGCACTGGCTACTCCCTCACAAGGCCATGCGTGGAACCCTCAATTCCCGTGCAGTCTTCCTTCCTGAAGCCAGGATCCAAGGCTAAAGGGAGGCTCAGAAGTCATAAGCGCCCCCCAACTCCCATCACTGGCAAGGAGGTAGGTCTGGAGGTGGCAGAAGTATGGGTGGGGGTGGGGCTTGGGTTAGAGGCGGCAACCGACAGGACCGCCTCACTCCATCTGCCGCCTCACTCCATCTGCCGACTGGATGTAAAGGTCCAGCAGACCTGGGCGGGGCTCAGCGGGTCGGGCTAGGGTCGGGAAGGGAAGGAAGCTCCACCCAAGCGGCCTCGGGACGTGGGGGACGTGACCGCGCCAAGGGAGGAGCCGCCGCCCGTATTGCCTGGAGTAGGCGGTCCTTCTCCGCTCCTTTCGTACTCGCAGAGCGCGGCGCCACATGCCCTAAGGGGCCCTACAATTCACCCACAGATTGGCTTTCGAGGCGGGCCATTTCCCTCTGCCCTTCGCAGAAGCGAGCCGGGGCGCTCGGCCGAGCCTCTCAGATGCTGACCGATGAACTGCAGGTCTCGCAGCTAGTTCATAAGTGGTTTCCATTCCACTGATGGAAACTGAGGCGGGAGGCCTACTCATGCCACTAGGACTGTCTCCATTCCTGCCCTGCCCCTGTGCCAGTGCCCAGTGCCAAGTGGACCAAGGCCTGATCCAGAGGCGTCTCCAATTGCTAAGCACCACCACCCAGAAGGTCCGACTTGGAGCCCCAAGGTGCCCCTGCACTTGGGCCCTCACCAGGCCCCACTTCCTGGCCAGTTCACTGCAGAACTGGCCCTAGAGTCAGTAATCCCGGCACACTGGCATACTAAGGGTCCCACAAACTGACCCCTTCTATATCACTCCCGATGGCTGTAAGTTCAACAATGCTTTCTCCTTGCTCCCCCTCCAAATTTAGGCTTCCAGGCAGTGAGTACTAGATCGTTTATATGGGAAGCAGGCCCTGCCCCAAGGTCACTGGTGGTGTGGGCAAGTCCATCTTGGAACCAAACCAATGGTTGTTCAAGGCCTTGCGAATACCACAAAGTCCGTGTTCAAGAAGGATCCACAGATACCTAGGTAGTACCCCCAGTGCCCCTTGTGGGGTAGACTCATCATTTGCACACCATCCTAGCTGTGCATTAGTCACTGCCCATCCTGAGGGAGTCCCAACATTTTCGGGACTGTCCTCATTTTCAGCACAGACGGACCCAGCACCCACTGGACACCAGCCAACTTTTGGGCCTGTGGAATGAAGCTGAGGGCCCTGGGAGAAAGCCTCCTGCCACCAACAGAATCCACCCCCGGCTTTGGACAAGCTACTGGGCCGTGTTGTATGGGGGAGCCAGCCTGTCCGCCTGGACATGCAGCCCTGTACGTCGGGTCCTGCTGCCCCCTTACCTGTCGCCCAGATTCCAAGAACCATCAGTGGCAGAGTTAACGGTTTCCCTTGCAGTTAAAGCTGCCTGTTGACTGGACCAGCATCCAGGTAAACCACTTCTCAGGAAAAAACAAACAAACAAACAAAAAACCTAGACTGTGCACCTGGTTTTCCCAAGGAATGAGGATAGGGCAAACCTATCCCATTATGGAGGGAAACCACACTTTCATGTGCCTAGTTTGGGCTAATAGTAGTGGCTGGGTGAGGGTTAGTAAGATGTAATGAGGAGATGGGAGGAAGAGACCCGAGGGCATTCCTCCCCCAACCATTCCGAAGCGCACGTGCTCCTCTCTCACTGGGCGGACTGCTGATGCCCGCTGGAGATTCAGGGTTCCAAGAAGTCTATAGCATTCCCACCAAATATAGCCCAGGTTCTCCAGTCGCCTGGCCACCCTCCAACCCTCTTGGGCCGAGCTATTTATACTCCGGACGTTTGGTCGCTCAGAGCGGCTGCCTCCTGGATGAAGCCCAGCCCCCGAGGGCTGTCGGATGGATAGGCTTCTGCGAAGGTAGGGAGGCAGGATGCGAGCACGCAATTGGCTGCTCCGGGCCATTTGGTGGAGACGCAGTGGTGAGAGGGTTCTCCAAGTCAGGAGAGACCCGGGGCTGGAGAACTAGGAGAGGAGATGACCGGGAACCAAGAGCTCCAGGCCTGGATCCGGCACCTGAGGAACGAGGGCCCAACCCCTGGGCCACTGGAGGGTCCCTGCCTCGCTCCACGCGCCAAGCATCCCGCCGCGCCTACCTGCCACCGCCACCGCCAGCCGCAGCGTCCGCCTCTGTCCGCCTGGGCTGCTCGGCGCCGAGCCGGGGGCGACTTTAAGTGCTCTCATCCCTCGCGCGGCACGTCCCCCGCGCACGTCACCGCTGCCTGGCGCCGCCCCTGTCCTCCCCGCCGGACCCCTCGCTGCTGCCGGAGGGGGCGCCCAGCTGCTGCGCCCCGACGGCTCGGTCACTGCCGTTCTCCGCTTACCAGGGAGCCCGGGCCTGAACCCGTTCTATAGGTGGCCCGGGCGCGGACCCCACCCAACACGGACCTTCTCACTGGTCTCTTCCGCGCTCTCAGACCCAGGTTGACCGCCTCGCCTCCCCTAGGTACCCCTTTCTGCCCCTCCATTTATCCCTTTCCAAGGCTGTGGGGTCCTTCTATGATTCTGGCAAGACAGCGGCAGCGTCCTCACTACCTCCGAGAATGGAACCTTTTTTGCCCTCCATGCCCTGGCCCGCGCCTTCTGCCGGGTGGCACGCGCCCCCACTGCACCCCGTTCACCATGGGCTCCCGCCACCTACCTCAGCTCTCGGTCTTTAGGCCTCCTTTGGACCTTCGCCCCATCCAAACCTACACATCCTGCAGGTGTCTACGCATGAGCTGTTGCGTGGCCGTGGCGACTGTCTCCCCTAGTTGAGAAGCAAGACCCGCGCACCTTGGACTATAGGGGGATCTTGGGCAAGGCTGCCAACCTCCTTGAACTTCCGCTTTCCCCTGTGGTCGGGCGCTTGCAAAGCCAGATGCAGACACTGACACCACAACCCTGCTCTGTCAGCCTTCAATTCCCAGCCCAGCGCGGGAGATGAGAACCGGACAGCAGCTTTCCATCCTACTCCACAAATGCTGACTGCCTGGAAAGGATCAGGGTTGGGAGAAAGCAGAGTCTTTCTTCTGAGCAGATTCTTCCTAGTCCTCCGGGGAGCGTGCATCTTCAACCTCATTTTACCCCCTGCATGCAATGGAAATAACTGGCACTTTGGGTGCTAGGTTTGAGCATCAGGGAGCATGACCTTTGATGGACAGGGCCTAGGACACTTATCCTTGGGCATCTAGCCTGGGTTAAAGAAGCACTCCATCTCACTTCTAATGAGGCTTCTAAACGACCCCAGATCCCCTGAAGCTAGAAAGTTTAGAGCATAATTCAACTTTAGACAAAGATCTCAATACACCCAGAATGGAAAAAGGTGATCCCCAAGTCCAGAATGTCACAACTGTCCACTCTTTTGGCCTTGGTAACTGGAGGTCACCCTAGCATTAGCTTTGGCCCCATAGTCAACCATCCTGAGTCCTTACCTACTGAGATGCCCAGGCTAGTAGGACCAACTGCTCTATTGAGTGTTCAGCACCCATCCTCCAATGGACCTTCCATGAAGAGTCATTCAGGGTCTAATCTCCACCCCTGCCTAGGGTCTCACTATTACTTCAAAGATGCTGGGGAAACCATTCATGGTAAGAATCCCATGGCCTCCAGCAAGTGGCATATGGGGCCTCAGTCTTCAGGGATGAAGACCTGTGACAGGTGGCTAACTTCTGGGAGGCAGGGCAGCCAAACTTCCAGCCTCAGCCACTGAAGATGTTACAGATACCCAGACACCATCCCACAGATGTGGGGGCTAGCAATATACTCTTCTTGGGTTGTGTTTGCCACCCCTCACCATTCCTTCAGACCAAATAACTCAGAACTGCCCACGAGGAAACAGAAACCAAACCTGTGCATCCTCCTGTCTCCCAAAGGCCAGGAGCTGCACCATCCACAGCCAGGTTTCTGCAGACTCTGAGACCTAGTTGCTCTAGAACACCCAATACTCCATTTTCTGGGTGAATTTAGGAGCATTCAAGACCTAGAGCCCAAGAGCGAAATTCCCACAGCACAGGCTCTACTGTTCTAGCACTGATGTGGGAGCTCTCTCCATACTGGTATCTAGTGTCCAGTCTGCCTACCAGGGGCCTGTACCAGCTCAGGATGCCCTTTTCTGAAGGGAAGGTACCTGGGAAGATGTAGCTATCCCTGGGAGGTGTCAGTTTCCTAGCACTGCCCAATGGTCCAGCCAGATCCAGTCCTGCCCTCCAACGTCCACCTTGTCCCTCCAGGCACCTCACCAGTCCCACCTCATACCATTCCAGTCTATAGCTTCAGGTCCCATCAGGTCCTGGAATGTGCTTTGAGGAGACTTAGTGGCTGGAATCCTACAGAACATGGACTTTCCCAAGATCTTCCCAACCGTGGCATGTGAAAGATCTATCACCAATCTTGAGCAAGCATCCAGTCTCCCAGACAGAGTGGGGGCCAGGATCCTCCTCTGTCTCCAAAATGATCTTAGAAACAGGGAAAGAGTTTTCTGAAGGTTCCCCTGTCAGCTGCCTCTGAGAAGGTAGGTGGAAGGTCCAGTCTCTCCGGTCAGGAGCCAGGAATCTTCTAGGTTCTGCAGAGCCATACAGACACCACATCGGCAGCCCATGGAGATTCTTCACGATCCCCCAGATTATAGACTAGTCACTATGCCTGGCCACGCCTACATGAACCAACCACCCAGCACCAGTTGCTACCCCATGATGGATTGAGGCCAGGACAAGCTGGGTCAGGTGAAGAAGGCCAAGTCACTGAGACATTCTGTCCCAACCACAGCTCCCCTCCCTAAGGTCCCCAGCTGCCTGGCTCCTGCCCCTGCTCCCTGAATGATCTCTGTCCAGGAGATCTAGTGACACACTATTGAAACCTGTTACCCCACACCGAGGGCACTTTTCCTCCAGGGCCTGCAGGTATAGTGGGATGCAGCCCTCCCTGGCCCAGACTGGAAAGGAGTGCTGCTGTGTGAGGCTCATGGAAGCAGAAGCCCCACGGGACACAGCCTGGACCCAAGACCATGAGTTTGGGACCAACCCATTCCTTCATTCTATGCTTTCCCCAGGATTTTCCTTCCCAAATCCTCTGGAGAAAATAAAAACAAAAAATTTTCCACTGTGCAGCACCCAGAGAGTGGGCCAGTGGGAGAAATTAAATCTCAGCCTAACCCAGCCACACACACACACACACACACACACACACACACACACACACACACACCTGTGCTCTGTTGGTGTTGGGCAATAAATATTAGGGTGTTTGTCATGAGTGATGAGTGGGTGTTGTGTATGGGTGGTATGTGTGTGTGTGTGTGTGTGTGTGTGTGTGTGTGTGTGTGTGTGTGTATGTGTTTGAGTATGGCAGGTAAGGAGTTATGTGCTGTGGATAGGTGTGGATATTGGGTGTTCTGGATAGGTGTGGATATTGGGTGTTCGTGTGTGCTATGTTGTGCATGAGTGTTGGGTGTGTGGTGGAGGTAGGGGCATTAAGTGTGCATAGGTGTTGGATATGTTTGTGTAGGTGTATGAGCTATGATTGTTGGGTGGGTATTGGGGATGTTGGGTAGATGTTATGCATGAGTGTTGGAGGTATTAGTGTGCTTGTGTGCTTTGAGTAGGTATTTGCATGTGGGTGTGCCTGCATGTTGGGTATACGGTGTACATTTGTTGCATGTGTTTGTATGGAGGTGTCTATGAGTATTGGGCTGTGGGTATGCATGGGTATTGGGTGTTTGTTTGTGTGGATACATGGGTGTTGAAAGTATAAGGATGGAGTATTGAGTGTCTGTGTATTGATATGTTTGTATGTGATGTGTGTGTGGTGGAGAAGGGTGCTGGGGATTAGGGTGGATATTAGATGTTGGATATTAAATATTAAATGTTGTGGTGTGGCTGTGTTTATGTGTGATGTGTGTAGTTTGGATGGGTGTTAGGGCTGTGGATGTTGGGTAAATTGGGGTGTTTATTTGTGCATGTGTTCATGGTCCATGTGAATGTTAGGCTATGGGTGTGTGGGACTGTTGGATGTGTGTAGTCTAATAGGAACAGCCAACTGCTGACCAGGCCTTCTCCTTAGTAGCAATAACAACCTCTCTCCCACATCTTCTGGAGCCAGAACTGGACAAGAACAGAACTTCTGGAATGCAGAACTAGGGCCACCTAGGCAGTAATTCCAGGGTCATGGGCAGATGGAAGCACAGCAAGGAAGACAGAGGAGCAAAGTTCCTCTGGTCTTCAGGCTCCTGGTCTGTGATGTGGGCCTAGCAGAACCCATCTGAAGTTCCTTGGGGGTTAACTTCTGGGGTCTCCATTTTCTTCATAGTCATTCCACTCTACCTTCATCTGACTCCATTTGGACCCAGGTGGGCAATCCTGTATTGGGTTTCAAATGCATTAGTTTTCCTCTCCTCCTACTTCTGCCCATCTGGAACTGGACTCCCCATGCCAACTTCCGATGCTATCTGATGCTCTCTGCTGAGTTTCACTTGGACATCCACAAATGGGCACCAGCAAGAAGGAGGAAAAGGCTCGGGAACAACAGTTACACATGCTGTGGCTTCAGGAAGCAACTGGGTGTGAACCATTTGAGACAGTCAAGTGTTTGAATATATGAGCAGGATATGCTCCACAACTGAGCAGGCCAACCAGTAGAAAGCAAGATGCATACTTAAGAGCAGAGTGGAGCTTTGTTTCTCTGTTAGGATTGTACATGTACAAAAGGGTGTGGTGGCCACACAGCAGTCTCAGAACCCAGGGGCTGAGGCACAAAGATTTGGAGTGTGAGGCCAATCTGGGCTACACACACACACACACACACACACACACACACACACACACACACACACACAGAGAGAGAGAGAGAGAGAGAGAGAGAGAGAGAGAGAGAGAGAGAGAGAGAGAGAGAGAGAGAGAGAGAGAGAACTTGTCCTGTCTTGAGGGTAAAGTCAGAGCAGGAAAGATAGCTTTGTAGATAAAATGCTTCTTGCATGAGCATGAGTGTGGGAAATGTAAATGAAATGTACTGTCTTCAGTATCAAAGGGTTAAATGAGACCATGAAAGTTCCATCTATAAAGAACTTAGTCCAGACATGATCTGAAGAGATGGCTCAGTGGTTAAGAGGAGTTGCTCTTACAGAGGACCCAAGTTAGATTCCCATCAACCATATGGTAGCTCACACCATCTGTAACTCCTGTCCCAGGGGATCCGATGCCCTCTTCTGACCTCCAAGGGCAGCAAGCATACAAATGATG